ACATTTCAACCTTGTTCCTAGTTTCCCAAGGTATGAGATTGCTCAACGTTTAATTTTTCTTTGATGCTTTCATTCAGTTCTTCGCTTTTCTTCTTCTTTTTTTTTTTGTTTGTTTTGTTTTGTTTTTGTTTTTGTTTTGGCTTTCTTCCCCATCGCCATTGTAAAACAACCCCATTACAAGAGGATATCATTAAACTTGCATCGGTTGTTACATCCCATTACATTGTGTTACATCCGGTCAGCAGTCGTGCTTCTCGGACTTCCGGCCTACGCGCTCAGTTATTCACCATTCTTGGCCTATCGACTTTCGCAATATCTGACTCGATTTCAGCCAAAGACGTTACTTTGGATTGTTCAAAGGCATGCATTTCCTTTATATATTGATCTCGACACATTTACTTTACTTCCTGGTTGGATAATATTGATGAATTTAGGTGGTCGAGGGAGAAATCCCAAGTATTACGACGATGTTTTGACCTTTCAACTATCCTTGTCAAGTGTATGCGGGCTTCTTGTATCATCATCTCTGATCTGAAACACAGCAAATTGGATATTCAATGGGAGTAACCGTTAGATTAGAGTCAGCGCTAGATTTGGTCAAGAAAATGGAGTGCGCGAAGGAGAGACACTGGAGAGAACCACGCGACGAAAGAATCCTGAAGAAATTCCCAAACCTTCAAAGGTAGGTTTTGTATCAATTTATATTTCATAAAATTCGTTGGCCAAAACGCTATTAACTAAATTTAGGTAACAGACAAGATGATAAAACATACTTTTGAAGCTGATTTTTTCTCTCTAAAGCCTGTTTGAGCCAAATACTACAGCCCTCAAAATTCCCAATTTTGCAATATTTTGCAATTTCCACCTGGTGTCTTCAGCACCCATGGCCAGAATATAGTTTTCCCCAAGTTGATTTTATGATATTTAAAAACGTCAATATCTGTGTAGTCTCTGCCGCTAATTTGGTTTATGTGGAAAGAGTACTTTCGGAGAAATTACGATTATGGTTGTGCCTGTTTTTCCTGCTTGTCTAAATGGCTGACAGGGAACATAGTAAGACGAGCATTTTCTTCTTGT